GGATAATTTCTTCTTGATTAACACGGCGCTTATCTTTTTGGAGCTGAAACTGCCATATTGTGTTGATTTTCCGATATGAAGTTGCATTTTTTTAAAAGTTTTTTCGCTAATATAGAGCTGTATTTGAACTATTTCGAATTGCGTTGAATAACAAAATAAAATACCGTATAATAATCCCAACAGCAGTAAGAAAATATATATGTTCGAAAAAATTGTAAAGAAAGCTTGACTAAATATAGCTTGAATAGAATAACAACAATGTTTAATCGAAAGAAAGCAGATTGTATTGTATTGGCTGTACTGTAAACATTGTAGAGGCGGAAGCTGCTGTGGCGGGATGGATGGCGAGAGACGTTGTGGAGGATGTTGGTGATGAGCGGATGATATTGATGGTACTGTGAGTGCCCCCCGATGGTGGATTAACTACTGAGTTTTTTGGCTTCCTTCCTCTTCTTGTTGGTGGTTTTGTAACAGCTTTTTGTTTCAATTCATCCAAAAGATTTCCAGTAGTAATTTCTTCTCCATATCGTCTTTCGGCTCGAATTCTTGTATTTCTTGTTATCGTTAGAGGTGAAGGCGGTGGTAACTGATGGATAACGTTTGTCACAATCGATCTTACTGCTGAAGTAGGACTGAGTGGAACAGAGTTGAGGCTAGTATAGGTTTTTTCTTCTTCATCACCTTGAATGAAAAGTTTGTTTAGAAAATATTTTAAGAAAAGCTACGGAAACTCACTTGAATCAAGGTCAAGGATCGAATATTTTTTATACTTTTTTGTGAAGTTACCATGTACGTTTGGTGTGACTTTGCCAGTATCGATGCTAAACAAGAACTTTTATTAAGTAGTTGAAGGTAGTTTTAGTATCATTACATAACTGTGGAAACTTACTTTTTATCTGTATCACTGTCATCGTCCCATAAGGGTCTTAGACGATTAAATTTTGAGGCAGGTATTGGAATTTCAGAGTTTGACTGATTACTAAATGCAGTAAAATCGATAAAATGTTGAATTTGATTGCGAACATAAGAGATAGAAACTTACTTAAAATCAGTAGGATTATCCAAAAAGAATTGCGGAAGAGAGGGATTTGTGAACAAAGCAACTAGATTGCTGGGTGATTGTGGTCAAAGTGCTATTAGATGACGGATATCTATAATGAGAGTTTTTATGTCAAACAGACAGAATCTCGTGATATTTTTGTTATTTACCTCGACAAGTCATCGTTCAAAGGATAATTTGAATTTAATGATGAAAAATTTGTTGTGGTTGTTATTGGATCTGTTGATAGGCTGAAAAAATGACACTTCTTTTCAAAGGATGTGGCAGTGTATGAAAGATTTTACGTTGAAACCAAGGGTAATCGAAGTTAGAAAATTTTTGAATTGGCTTAGTTACTTTCGATGCAAAGTAGAATCTAGTACACGCCACAACAAAACATATGCTTAGTTATATGCCATAAGCAAATGGTAAGCTTGACTGTACTCCAGAGTCATGAAATCAACTGAAAGAACTATTGCTAAACAATATCTTAAACAAATGTTATGGTGATGTACAACACAATTAGGCTGAGCATTTATAGTCTTCTCATTTTTCGTACCTGAATGAACTTGGTGGAAATGAAGGCAAAGAAAGAACTGATCTCGACGACGATGTGGTTGTATGTAATGCCCTAAATTAAAATTGCCTGAATAAAGGTGAGTGTTTTTCGATGTTTTTGGAAAAGATATGTTCAGAGTTTGTTAGTTTTTAACAGCTATAGTTGCATTTTTGATAACGCTCTTTTAGTTCGCTAAGTTTTACCCAGATGTAGGAACTTGTTTTGTTAAATTGTTTAGATTCTTTTTCGCTACTTTTTCTTTCATGGCTTCTTTGTCTAGCGGCCATATTCCGGACCTAGCAAAACCAGCCGAAACTTGTCGTTTTGTTAATGAGTCATCGAATAATTGTTTTATTAATGCTGGAAAATCGATTTTTCGAATCGTCTTTCTTTTGGTTTTTGCCAGATATTTTGTCACAATTCGATTCCATACTTGTTTAGCTGGGCTAGAAATTCAAATCACATATTAGCCAGCCAAAGTTGTATTTATTTGCCGAATAGTATTTCAGGTATTCCACAAATAACTTTAAGGATTTAAGCGGTGGAATATGCAACAAAATATATAGTCGTAATGAAACAAGAACTGAGAAACCATCACTAAACTTGTACAGGAATTGATTTGAAGTTAAAGAACAAAAGAGGGGATTTCTTTAATTAATAAGGTATTACTTACTTAAATGTGGCCACGTCAAGTGGCTGCAACGCGTGCGTCGTGTGTGGTGGTAACAACAAGAGTATTATATGATGTTGTTTTGCTAATTCGATTGTTTTGATATTGATATGAGCAGCATGGTCATCCATAATAAGAAGTATTGGACGTTCGACCGCTGCTGTATATGGAATAAAACTGGTTTCAAACCATGTGGTGAATAAGGTTTCATTTATCCATCCGGACTCAGAAACATTATATGTTGTTCCTACAGGGCCTCCATTACACCATGTTGGGCTCAAGTTTTTCGCTGAGTATATTATGAATGGTGGCATTACTTCACCAGCTGCATTACAGCATATAAGAGCTGTTGTAAACTGCCTACCGGTGCCGCCGAATTGTTCGAAAGCATATTGTGTTTCGATTGATACCACCACTAATTCACCTAAAAAATAAAGTACCTTAATGCTTCACCGCAGAACTCATGAAAAAAACTAATTTTTTACTCCGCGGGCAAGAATAGGAATAGTTTTGGAACAATATTGTTAGTTTCTTTTAGCCTTTCTTTTTGTTACTATCTATATTTTTAAATATATTCCATAGTTTACGTTTGGTTGCATCATTAAATCCGCTTTCATCTTCATTCCAGATCTGTGCTGGTCTCGATATAAGATTGTTGTTTGTCAAAATTTCTTCAAGTTTATTGAACCAGCCTTGTCTGACTTCTTCGGTAAACCCCGTTTTTCGACTAGTTTTTGTTCTTTCAAAATTTTTATTCGTTCTTTCCATCTTTGCATAAAACTATCAAACCATTTTCTACCCGGGACATCTATAGTTTGGTTAAAAGAGCACGCATGTGACACATTAAGAAAGCATTTGTTCAATGACAAAGCTCCTACCTTTTTCATCAAACCTTCCCTGCCTAATCAATGACATATATTCACCAGCAATTTTTAAAACCACATCTTTTGTTAATCTTACGCCGATCGTTTCCAGTTGTTGAAACAATACGACTAGATATTCTTCTTGATCATCTGTGAGAAACCGTGGACGACCACCACCAATGTTCAGTACAGGATTTGATTTATGTTTTCTTATTGTACTCTCTGGAATATTAAAAGCTTTTGCAGCGGCCACGGAAGGCATTTCATCGTTCTTATAGGCTTTAATCGCTTTTTCCAAATCTTCTTTCTCGTAATTACATCGCTTGTTAGCCATCTTGTTATTTTAAAGTAATAAGGATAATGGAATTCAGACAAAATTTTCAATACCTATCGAAGTCCTCCTTCACCATCTGATAAGTACGTCTCATTTTAATCAGTTTATTCGTAATATTTCAATCTTCTACAGTTATTTTTAAACATAAACTAATAGCAGCAGCAGTAGAAACAACTATATATAGATATTTTCTTTTTCTGCTTGCAACGGGAAAATCTCTACTAGAAAATGACGTCATAACCCAAAAGTGTAATGTCGTATATTTTTTTTAAAAAGCAAATAAACCAATCGTACATCGTAAATTCTGTTATTCTTGACTGCGATACAAAGCGTACTAGAATTTTCTAGATTACACTTAGATTTACGTACAAAGATTTCGATTAGATGACGACAGGATTTGTCTATGTATTTAACACTTTCAGCCGGACAAGTAGCTTCGTAGGCGACACCAGATTTTAAACGGATGAGAACTTTGTCTTTGTTACTGAAACCGAACTAGAATTCTAAACAATTCTAACAGTTTTCTTTCACAATGATTGGCAATCAGCAGCTTTTATGGGCCCCCATAGGTTCATCGACTATATTTGTGAAATCACTTTCAGTCATAATTGAACTACTTAATCAATAGTGTGTCTTCTTAAACGTTAAAGTCAGTCTGAGAAGGTAACTTACTCAGAAATAAAGATACTGAAAGTTTATTATATTCCACTTGATAACTTTTAGCCTTTTTATGAAAAAATTAAGCATATACTTTTAGGATTATGAAGTATGAGTTTGTTTACTTAACATCGCATTACAAAGAAAAGCAAATAGTATCAAAATATATTTCGAATGTTTATGGTAATTGAACGCTATAGAAAACTAACAGATGTTACACTTCACGATTGTCGTCTGAAAACTAACAGGATTTACGTTAGAAACGGGGAAGATGGTTATATTTCCTTCATTTCTTTAAGCCCATTGCTAAAATTTTTGTATCAGCCGGAATCCTCCAGATGTTGTTTATTAATGCTTGTTCGCGTACTTAATTAAGCGATACTTTGTTTATAAATGGATGTACGTCTTTTACCTTTTTATATGTATATATACTTTTACCAATCTATTTGTATTTATTACGCATTTTTTGTGCCAGAAAAATGTTCAATAGCACTCATTAGAAAGGATACACAAACAGTTAGCATAATGGTTAATTTAGTGAACGAATGGAAACCT